AACACCTGGGCACAAACAGACTCCCCCGATACCTCCCCCCGATACCTCCAGCTCAAACACACCCCAACCAGGCACCCAGATGAAACCTAGCTTCCTAATAAATGATAGCCATCCATTTTCTCGGAGCCAAGCTGCACTAAATGCCTCCAATACAGGAAACACAATGTTGCCAGCCAATCAAGACCAAAAAAAGCTACAAAACAGACAGAAAATATTAGAAACACCAATCAAGCAGAACACAGCAAACTCCAAGACCAATAAACACAGAGTCTAGACCAAGACTCCCAACCAATCAGGATGAAGAAAAACCATTCTGGCACAGCAGATGGCTAGCACCAAATTTAAAACAGAAACAGCTGTGAAAGTCTGACTCACAGACGAACACAATACAGATGCCTGATGATGGCAGATGAGATTCTGCCGAAACGTTGCTACAACTTTAAAAGCACAACTATAATGATGTGGGAAAATACCTGAACAAAGCTGAATACCACACATATAAATACCCACGAAAACATAAGAAAACACACACACACACAGTTTTGCCCACCAAAATCTACTGCTCTTGTGAAAACAAGGGCTTCTGTAACTATTGACTTTTGTTTTATTGTACATTATCTATATCTATCAATCTGTCTGTCTGTCTGTCTGTCTGTCTGTCTGTCTGTCTGTCTAAAAGCCAAGTATTACTCACTCATCACTAAAGCTCAAGAACCATAAAGCCTACAAACTTGAAATTTGGCACGTATGCTCCTCTTGGCTTCTTGGTGCTCGTTAAGAAAGGATTTTTTGAAATGACCATCAGATCATTAGTATTTCTTATACAGTAATTAACACGCTCTGATGCTAAGGAGTTCTACTCCCCTTGCCATCCGTAAAAGAACTCCGTTCCAACTGCCAGTTGCCTCACATTCCGTTACCTTAGTTCAAACTGGCAGACGTTCCACTCCTTCATTTGGGAGTGGCCTGGGGCTCCTTACAGTACTAAATGTCGGTACTTCACCTAAATGTCTATGCCTTCCATCTATGGAACTGTTTCTGGACTCAAGGCAGTGGGAGCAATATTTCCTTATGTGTTTCAATCACCGACCACCACTGAGCCAACTGATTGTGAACCAAATTTCTCCTGCATAGCTTGATCACAAAGTTTCATCATGAAGCATGATGAAAACTATCCAGCTAGTTTGATATAAGTGCCCCTAAAATTATTTTCAAGAGAACGCTGTAGTTGTGAAAGTTCACTGTTCATATTTCAAAGGCTCAGGAGGGCTGTATTTATGTGAAATAGCCATAAATACACATGTATATTTTGCTCAGAAACAATAAAGATACATAACTCTCTCAATACTGTCTGAGTTCATTAAAATTTATTGTGAATATGCCAAGTGTTACGTCTTATGAATATTGATTGCCTTCCTGTTCAGTGTGGTTCTACTGTAGCTATGAACATTCTGCTTTTATGCTTGTTTATTTTTATTTTCCCAGAAAATACATGTAACAATGTCTGTGTACCTATATATCTATTATATTTTTCCTCCAGGACTTCAAGGCAATATAAGTAGATATCACTAAGTACTAATTAGGCTACCTGTCAATTTCTGATTCAAATGTATTCCATGACTGATTCAAATGTATTCCATGACTGAGTAAGGATTCCAATCTGAATCTCGCCCTACACCAAGACAATAATTACTATATTACTCTTATTTTCATGAAAATCATAAAAAGTTCTTCTGGCAAATATATAGAGTTGCTGCTGCTACTAATCTTTCCTGATAGCTAATATAGCTAGATTCAATTTCCTGTAAAATCAAACACAAAACTAGAGCTGTTTCAGACTGCCCAAAGATTTGAAGCCAATGTGTGCGGAGTTCATTTTTATTCCATAAAATATCCAATTAGATTAAAACAATGAGCAGCAAACGGATTACAGCCATAGCAGTTAACTGATGGCACCAAAACATTTCCTGTGGGAAACAGATTGTAATTTATCACAATCTGAGTGTGACTCTTAATGTGGTTCAGTCTTTTTTAAAAAAGGTTTGAGGGGCAATATAATATGATAGATTAAATGCTCACTATCAACCAGTATTATGTACAGGAATGGCCTATCCAGCGTAACTATGGAATAAGGAGTATTTTATAATTTCTCTAGCTTTAGCTAACATATAACCCATCATTTATGTGTAGTGGTTTATAATGAAATCTTTTTTTTTTCACTTTTAAGGGAAGAAATGAATATTAACTGCCTGTTCAAGTAGATGAATTCTTAGGTTTGTAGATTGGCTCTAATTCCTATTATTGATTCTTTTTTTTTCTTGTTCATCTAGAAATGATTCAACAGCTGAGAGATATTGAAATAATATTGTGATTCAACATTCAACTTTCTGATTTTAGCTATGAATGATTGTTTTTATAAGCTAATCAGAGTTCTTTTAGATAAGGAGTCAGACAAACCTTTTAAATAAATAAATATTGCAATATAAAACAGCAACCAATTTATAATTGTAACACAATGAGCAGCTACTATACAGGAAAAAATGCTGAGGGAATGACTAAGATTTAGGAGGTGGCCAATTGTGTTTGCAGAAAGCACTTTACTTATTTTCTGAACTGGTCAATATTTTGGTTACACATAATACACTGACTATAAACTAACCAAATAAAACTGCAAGTCTACTAAGATACAGATGAAAATTAAGGTTAGCACTAACTAGTTTAATATGTGTGACCATACTTGCTCCATCATTCACTAACCTGATTAAATGTGTTGGGCAAACAGAAAATCTGTCTTTTTTTTTTTTCAATTGTTCTGCTTCCCTTTCATAGACTGGTTATAATAAATGAAAGAGAAAAACAGCTAACAGTGATGGATGCTTATAAGAAAGTTATATCAGAATACACCTAAGTCTAAATAAAACCAACCCTTATTATAACTCTCAAAAAGCACCATATAATAGATCAGCAAAGCATAGCACCAAATATGGATTTTGAATTTAAGATCAGCAATTAACTAGAGCTAGTATTGTTTTTCCAGTTTTTATCTTCAATTATGCATTGGTCGATTTCTTGCTTTTAACAACAACACTATGTATCTTTTTAGATATGTCACTCATTGATTCTAGCGTAACACTAATCTAACAGGGCTTTGAAAGCATTGGAGATAACAGAAGGCTAAGAAATAGATAAAGAAAAAGACAAATGCAGAGAAAGGGGAAAAGGACTGTATGGATATCAATATTATAAACAGGTTTGTATTTTTTTTTCCTTATGGATTTCTAGGGCTCACATTTTTGAACTTCTCGTTAATTCAAGCCATGACCCTAAAGCTGTGTGACATTACTCAGTCCCAATGCTGTTATATATAAACCTTACATATCAATATTTATTCTCTGTATGTCAGACACCAAAAGTGCCTGTTAGAAGTAGGCATCTCAATAGGATGACTTGTTGGAATAGGGTGACCTGACTTCAAATCAATACTCATCCACCCTTCTCCTTTACACAGGTCAAATTTAAATTTAAATAGCTGCAGGGATCCCTAAACCTGTGGCCATCCAGAGATTGTTGGCAACATGATATAAAACAAGTCCCTGTGTTTATAATAAGCATTTTAAGGAGAGACTAAGTACAAGAAGGTCAAAAGACAAACTGTTTGAAGAACAATGAGATTGGATGTGTGATGAGTGCCAGGCAGAGAATACTGACTTCCTCCAAGCAGGAAAACAAGACCTTTTAGAGCTTTTGACATGGAAGAAAAAGTTTCTATTAGGCTTTTTACAGGCGTAACTTTCTTCTGCTTAGCAACTGGACAAATCTTTCACCCAGTTTATTTGCCCGTAGACTGGGAGGAGAAATGAAAGAAAGGCAATGAGAAGACAAAAGAGTCTAACATCTCTGGGTTGCTGATACACTGAATGATGCAACCATTTTATTTCTCTTTTCTGTTTCCCCAGATAGTCATATTCCAAATAGTCATATTAACCTGCTCGGTTGCGAGTTCTAATTGCTTGGCCTAGAACATGCCTAAATCTCACAATAAAAGCGTATTAAACCATGATGTGATCAGTGGGTTTGTTAGTTTTTGTTCTGCAGCTTGTGTGTTCAGTAACTTGACACTTCTTTGGGCTGAGAAGGAGTGATTAGTCTGAGATTACACAGCTAACCTCCATGCTCAAAGGGTATATGGGGCTCTATTAGCCCTTCGAGGTAGTCTGGAAAGATGCTCAACCAGGACTAGCAGCACTATGTTTATTGTAAGGTTACATTTAACAGAATCTTGCAAAACTGAAGGTCCCCTCCTCTCTTTTTAGTCTCTGGAAAACTAGGGACATTCCTTTCTGAAATGCTCCCTGTGTTTTTCTTCTACCTGCAGTCTGAAGTATCTGTTATCAGACCATTGAAATATGGTGGCTCAGTGGTTAAAATGCAGTACTACAGGCAAATTCTGTTGACTGTCAGCAATTTGGCAGTTTGAGTCTCATCGGCTCAAAGGTTGTCTAAGCCTTCCATCCTTCTGAGGTCAGTAAAATGAGGACCCAAATTGTTGGGATTGATATGCTTCCTCTGTAAACTGCTTAAAAAGGGCTGTAAAGGCCTATGAAGTAGCACATAAGTCTAAGTGTTATTGCTATTGTCCTGGCTGTGGATCTTCTTCCTGTTCCCCCAAGGCCATTCCCACACACCATCATAGTTTCTTTCATCCCTAGTCTAACACCTACAGCACTCCACTATTCAACTGTTCTATTTTATGCAATTAGCAAACTTCACAAATCATGCACTGTGGTTATTTACAGTATGATGTAAATACAATGGCTGGGTTTCACATACCACCTTAAAGAAGACACCCCTCTTTACAAACCACAGTGATTAGATTTACACAGTGTGCCAAGATAAAACCATACAAGGCACTTAGTTCCTTCCAATGATATGTATATCCAATTATTCTCTTTCTTGGCCTGACGTCTGATTATTATGGATGCATCAGAAATGTCACTTACTTTGTGCAAACTTTGGAGCATTGTCATTGACATCAGTCAGGGTAATAGTCACTGTGGTGGTTCCAGAAAGTCCACCCATGTGTCCACCCATATCCTTTGCTTGGATGACCACGGTATATTCCTCTTTGGCTTCCCGGTCCATGTTTGAAAGAGCAGTTTTGATGATAGCTGGGAAAAGAAAAAGAAAGAATAAAGAAAATATCATCCAAAAAATGGGAAGTGGGAATTTTATGCAATCTGACCAAAGCTGGATTTAATATTGGGGATGATGCTCTTGAAACTATATCCATTCAAAGGTAATATTTAAAATGCAGTAACACAAGAAGAACCCATCTGGATAAGGCCACTGGCTTATCTGGCCTAACATATTTAATATATATGAAATTTGGGGATCTAGTTTGGGGATTACTCACCTCCTTAACTGTCAGTTGATTTGACTTACCTGAATGTCTAAGTCAGGGGCAGCAACCTTAAACACTCAAAGAACCACAACCATCCTAACCAGAACCCCCCTGTTCATTCTGGAGCCAACCAGAAATCTGGTTCCCCCACCATATAGTCTCATCCTAGCATGGCGTCCTTTTTCCTCCGCCGACCGGAAGTCTGGTTCCCCCACCACAGTCTCCTCCTAGCACGGTGTCCTTTCCCCTTTACCTGCCCTAACCGAAAGCCCTATCAACTGATTGGCAACAGAGAGTCACAGCAGAGGGATGAAAGAGTCACATGCAGCTCCAGAGCCATAGGTTGCCGACCTCTAGTCTAGGTAAATATCCACTTTCTTCTTCACTGTTCCATGGATGTCCCTCCAGAAACTGCATGCTCAGTGGCAAAGGTGACTATCCTACTCAGCACTTTTATCATTCTATGGCTCAGGGTGTATGAGAACTATGTTTCTTTTGCACCCAGTAAACCACCTACACTTGGAAAGGAGTGCAATTGCCTGCTTCCACTCTACTCCCTGGAGAATGAGGTCAAGGCATGCTGGTAAGGATTCCAGAAGTAGAAACCAGACCACTAATAATAGCCACTAATAGCATGACCCTACCCAAATCTCTTCAGTTCAGTTCTGAAACCTTCTAAATTCACAATTAATTCTGCAGTTTAACTTCCACATTTGGCTCTCCTGCACTGTATGATGAGCTACTTTGCTTCAGGCAGCCCCAGGAAGGAAGGGAGATGAAAGGAAGGGGAAAAATTAAAAGAGAACTAATGCCTTCAGAATATATTTATTTACACCTATAGTTTAGCATGGGTAAACAGTTCCCTAAAAACAGGGAGCACACACACACACAAAACTATCCTGCATTTTATCTTTAATGATCAACTGTTAGTCTTCAAAGATGCTTCAGTTTTAGATTCCATCTATGTTTAAGTCAATCAGATAATTGCCTCTGGCAGTCTTTGTCCCTCTTCACCTAAAGAAAGATATTTCGAATATCAAGGAAATATGAATATTGTTGCTGTCCTTATTACCAAGCCAATGTTTCTATTAGTGATTTCCATTAGACTGGAAGTGCAATACATTCATAACAACACACAACCAAAGCATGGCCTACTTAGTTCTGGATGGATACCATATGTTATGTCTGGGCAGTGGGTCCCAAGGAGAGACGAGACTCGAAGTAGTGACAACAGCTCTTTATTAGGAAACCAGATACTGAGACAAAACTTCCAGCCACGGCAGCTCTTTTTATAGAGCTGGCTGCGGCTAGGCAGCCTATGACATGCTTTTGAGCTTGCCGCGCTTGGTTTTACCCAATCGCGGCAGCTGAATAAGAACCAATCAGAACACTTAGTATTGTCCAATCATGGCCCGGCTTTTCCGGACCAATGGGAATGCAGGCCTACAAGCCTGCTAGTATGGAACACCCCTCCCCTCTTGGTTCCGTCCAAGGGGCGGGGTAACATAATCACGCAAGCAGGCGCGTCTTCGTACCTGCCAACTAGACTTGCGCTATTAGTTTGTCTAATTGTTCGTCTATTTTAGGCTTGAGTGCAAAAGGCACTCGGCACGGTTTGAGACGGATGGGAGCGATGTCAGGGCTGAGATTAAAGGAGATAGGGGACCCCTTGTACTTGCCTAAATGTCCACTGAAGACTTCTTGGAAGTCCTGGATGAGCGTTGCTTCCCAGTCTTCGTCTTCTGTGTGGTTGATGCCTGCCATCTCGATCCCCAACGGTGCGAACCACTGCAACCCGAGTAGGCTGGGTCGGTCTTTATCAACGATTGTGAGTGGTAGGATGGTGGTGTGGTTTTTGAAGGAAACTTTAAAATGTCCAGTGCCAGCGACCGGGATGCGATTACCTTGATAGTCTCTCAATATTAGCTTCTGGTTGCTTAGCTCTTGGCGGCAGATGCTGGGAATTAGTCGTTTTATGGTCCTCCAGGAGACCATAGAGAGGAAGGAACCGGAGTCTACCTCCATGGTGCAAGGTTGATTCTCGATGGTGACCTCTACACGTATCTTTCGTGCGTCTATTGATGAAGTGTGGCCGATGGTGACTGTTTGGTGCATTTCTTCTCTTCTGGGTACCTCGATGAACTTCCTGGGTCGGCTGTCCCAGTTCCATCGGCTGTCATTTTGGCGGTCCCGGTTCATGGTGGGGGTGCCATCACTTCTTCTTGGGCTGTTTCCCCGTCGTCGGGGGCTGGAATTTCGTTTGTTGTGGCATACTTTGGCAATATGCCCTCATTTTTTGCAAAAACGGCAAACAGCATCCAGGAACTTGCATTCGGAACGCAGGTGATTCCCTCCGCAGCCGGCACATTGGTAACTCGACTTACGACCGCGCCAGTCTCGTCGCTCGCGTCCCGACTGAAGTCTGTGAATTTCTTCCTCTTCACTGTCAGAAGGGGATTCGATGTCGCCGTGGTGGGTGGATGCTGTGTGTTTTTCTGCTGCGGTTGCCATCTCGCTGGTGGGTTGGCGGTCGGTTCCGTTTGAATGCCGCATTCGCGCTGCTGACTTATGTGTGGCCTCGGCTGCGGTGGCTTCGGCTACGGCGTCGGCGAGGGAGATGTCCCCTTTAGCCATCAGCCTGCTTTGGAGAGTTGGGTCTTTCAGGCTGAGGACGACTCGGTCACGCATGGCTTCGTCTAGATTGGCGAATCCGCACAAGCCTCCTAGGTTCCTCAGGTCGGCTACGAACTCTCCGATGCTCTTGCCCTCGTGCTGATCCCTCTGGTAAAAGTCATGCCAACGGATGAGGGTCGGCACCGCCGGTGCGTAGTGGTTCCGGAGGATGGGAGCTAGGGTATCCCAATCCATTGTCTTGACGTCTGTGGGCTTCGCGAGTGCCTTGGCCATTTTAAAAATGGCGGGTCCGCAGTGTGTTAGAAAGACCGCTCGCTTCTTGCTGCCGGTGGTGTCCTTCAGGTTGTTTGATTCCAAAAACATTTGGAAACGATTGATGTAGGACTCCCAGTCCTCGCTGGCCGGATCGAATGGTGCGGGTGGCACGGCGCTGCTGGCCATCTTGCTGGTCGTCTATGTGCTTTCTGCCACATGCTAGTCAGCTCTGTAGTCTCAGTATCCCACCTTCGTCACCAGTGTTATGTCTGGGCGGTGGGTCCCAAGGAGAGACTAGACTCGAAGTAGTGACAACAGCTCTTTATTAGGAAACCAGATACTGAGACAAAACTTCCAGCCGCGGCAGCTCTTTTTATAGAGCTGGCTGTGGCTAGGCAGCCTATGACATGCTTTTGAGCTTGCCGCGCTTGGTTTTACCCAATCGCGGCAGCCGAATAAGAACCAATCAGAACGCTTAGTATTGTCCAATCACAGCCCGGCTTTTCCGGACCAATGGGAATGCAGGCCTATAAGCCTGCTAGTATGGAACACCATACAGTGCAGGGTGGCCAATACTATTTATTTTCAGTCTGGCCAGGAGAGATTTGGATGGACAAACAGGTCTCTTAAAGCATCTAAGAGTAGCTTAAACCATGGACATTTGGATGGCTTAAATGGGTGAATTGGGCGACTTAAATCCCTAGATTCTTAGCCTAAAAATGAAATGCTCATATAGAGACCTACAAACAGGATGCAAACATTGGTTTCCCCCATTCCAAAGCTCATCTGTATGAAGAATGGGAGATGTATTCAGTGCTCTGTGTGTGGGGTTAGGGTTAGGCTGCCACTAAGTTGTTGTTTTTACTTGCACATCCCAAAGTTTCCCAAAGTTTCAGTACTCTAGCCATGCTGAACAACACCCTTAAACACCTGCAAAATGTTGTTATGGATCAGAAAATGACTGTGGTCTACTGGCTATGAGATCAGAACCAGTCTTTATATGTTGGCTTGGAAGGCTACTCTTGAGCAAATTGGCAGAGGCGCCACCCACTTTATGAGATCATTTGCAATTCCTTAGAGCACCCAACTCTAGTTTGGGCTTTGAAACTTAGAGAGGGAAAACCAGCATCCTTCCATAAGGTTTGCCCACAATCTCCTCATTTAATAATAATAATAATAATAATAATAGAAAATATAGACATTAGAAAAGAAACCACAAAAGTCCATTGTAACAAGCTGAATTTCTTCACACTTTCTCTGCATACTGAACATGCAGTCTATAATAATGGATTAGTAGCCCCCCAGGCAGCAAGGATAAAAATGATAATACTGTCAGCTTTTGTGGCAGAAACTATCCATTTCCGGCGAGTGAAACTTGAATTTCCTTTCCTGCTTATTAAATAAATGATTGGTGGTGTCCATTCTTAGAACATCTGGCAGCTTAATGGGAGTACATGAAGATATTGTTTATGTATGTATCTATTTACATATTCTTAAAAATGTGCTAATTGCCTTCTTGGAAAGAAAAAAAGCAAATTTAATTGACGAGTCAGTTAAATAAATATCAGTGACAAAAGTATGGTCTGCAAAACAAGACATTCACAATAGGAAAAGACAGCTACAAGGAATGCAGCTTAAACCAACAGGAGAGTGAAACCAATTTTTGGAAGTACATACAACAACATATGTTTCTTTTTCTTTTGATAATATTTATGTTGTGATTGACAGGACTACTGAAAGATACCTGTAGAATATAGAATTTTCCTTACTTTAGGGTAAGAGCCCTTTGAGCATTGAAGTACTCTCATCTTTTTGCTTCCTATATACTGGAAGTCCTCAACTTGCAACCACAATTGACTCAAACATTTCTGCTGCTAA